TCTTCGACCTGTTTGTTTCCTCTCCACCTATCCTCTCCTCTATCCCTCTTCTATCCGCCTCCCACTCTCTCCCTATTTATTTCAAAACCCCCTTCCCCTCCCCCTTTTCTGATGAAGGGTCTAGGCCCGAAATGTCAGCCTCTCTGCTCCTATGATGCTGCTTGGCCTGCTGTGTTCATCCAGCCCTGCACCTTGTTGTCTCGGATTCTCCAGCATCTGCAGTTCCTACTATCACTGAAACTTGGGGACTCGGTGTTCGGAATAGGAGGTGGGGGGAGGGGAGTGCAGGAGTAGGGCTGGATGAGAGATTTAGGGACAGCAGATTGGGAACTCGTAGCTTGAAGCTTTTAGAAAGGAGCAGGATTTGGTTTGCACTCATTATGTGATCTTTCTTGCCCTCGTAGCTGTGTGAGTTTTTCTCGCTCTGTGAGCAAGACTGGAGCTCGCTGCTCACTTACGGTTTCGACCTGCCACAAATCCGAGCCCAGGACAAATGCTTAAAGATAAATTTCCACAAGGTGAGTGAGAGAGCGAGTGGGAAGAGTTAATTCAAAATTAACTGATACATCACAAATGACATAGAGAGGCACATAGAGGGTGAAAATTCAAACGGAGTTACTTTTAGCCGCATTTTCTTTGACGGTGATTAGAATAAAATTGATAGCACAGATTCACGATTGAATTATATATTTTTAATCAACCAGTTCATAGAGGGCATTACACACCTCTGGAGCAGGTGGGATTTCCACCATCAGCGTTCTACCACAGTCAAGTCAGCAATTTTACAAAATATTTCCTGTAGCTGTTTGGTTGAAATTAATAAGCAGTTCTTCAAAATATACTAAAGCGATTTTGACAAGCGTGCATCCTAATTCTTGTATGCATTCAAATTAGGAAACGTGTCTCAAAGCGATCGCCTCTGGCCTTCAGAAGTACAAGCCCTACTTGTTATTGGTGGAAACATCAATCCCCAGTTCGAATGACCGAGCAACATGGATGAGATCCAGCACTCAGCAACTGGCTGAATTGATCATGAACCAGGTCAGTGTCAACAGAGACAATGTGAGGTATTGCATTTCGTAAGGCAAACCAGGGCAGGACTTGCAGGATTTATACACTCAGTGAAAGGGGCCTGGAGAGTGTTGCCTAACAAAGAGACCTTGGCGTACAGGTTCATATTTCCTTGAAGGTGGAGTGGCAGGTGGACAGGGTGGTGAAGAAGGCGTTTGGTACACTTGCCTTTATTGGTCAGTGCATTGAGTATAGGAGTCATGTTGCCGCTGTACAGGACATTGGTTAGGCCACTTTTGGAATAAGTTCAGGTCATCTTACTGCAGGAAAGATGTTGTTAAAATTTAAAAGGCTCAAAAAAGATTTACAATGATATTGCCGGGTTTGCAGTGTTTGAGCTTTAGGGAGATACTGAATAGGCTGGGCCTATTTTCCCTGGAGAGTCAGAGACTGAGGGGTGACCTTAAAGAGGTCTATAAAATCATGAGGGGCATGGATGGGGTGAATAGTCAAGGTCTTTTTTCCCAGTGTAGGGGAGTCCGAAACTAGAAGGCCTACGTCTAAGGTGAGAGGGGAAAGATTTAAAAGGGACCTAGAGGGGAAACTTTTTCAATCTGAAGGTGCTGCTTGTATGGAACGAGCTACCAGAGCAAGTGGTGGAGGCTGGTATAATTCCAACATTTAAAAGGCATCTGGATGGGTTTATAAATAGGAAGGATTTAGAGGGATAGGCGCCAAATGTTGGCAAATGGAACTAGATTAATTTAGGATATCTGGTCGGTGTGGACGGGTTGGACCGAAGGGTCTGTTTCCGTACTGTACAAATCTATGACTCTCTGACTAAAGGAGTCAGTGGATACCTATATTCTCAAACCTGAAAATCCACCTAACCAAGTATCACGTTTCCTTTTTATTTCAGTTAAAGTCTGAGTTCGGCATCACTAATCTGCGTGAGGGTGAACGACAGGTTTTAACATCAGAACAGGTGCCAAAAACAGACTGGAGCACACAGGTGACAGTGCATGTCATCCTTCGGGACTTCACTAAATTTATCGAGCTCACAGCCCGAGCCATTCGCTTTATGAGAACGCAATCAAGTCTGTGAAGTTCTACATTGGGTTTAGCCAAAACAAGAGCCTAAGTTTCTCAAGGCACGGATATGATTTATTTATTTGGTTATTTATTGACTTATCTACCTGCCTAGCAAAAGGGCTAACGAGTAGGTGTAGTGCAGAGAAAGAATGGGGACAACATTACAGGATTGGTTGATTTTCAGCACATAGGATGGAAACCTCTTTTCTCCATTCCGCCGCAAAGTCCGCGGAACTCTTGATTAATTTAAAAATTAAGTTAAATTATGCTGTATTCCATTAGTATTGGTTGGTCGTGAATCTAGGAGCTGGGGCAGCTCATTTGTTTCGGATTGTACCCGGAGGAGCACAGTTTGGGAACTCGGCTTTCTGCCAAATCCAATGTCATTGCATCCTCTGCAACTGTGGTTAAGTACGAAGCAGCAACTGCTTCAGCGTATGAACGTTGTAGTTCAGCATTTGATCAAACAATCTTTCATTAGCAACTAAAAGGGTATTCTGCAAAAGGAACTTGTATTAATGCACTGTACAGTACTGTGAAGTGAAGTCGATACAATTACTTGGAGAATATTGTTTACGTTGTTCAACGTTATTTATACAATTTTATATTTGCTCCATCTTTTATACAATTTATAAACTGTGGTGTGTTTATGTTAATTTATAATGAATAATATTGAACTGTGTGGAATTACAGTATTTATGCAATATTTATGTATTTACATACTATTAATTCTAATACTCTCTTTAAATGTCTCAGTTATAGACCTCTGTACTGTTCACTGATTGTTTTAATTAAAATTGAGATAAATAAAAATCAATTTATTCAAGACTCACTCAATGTAATTAAAGGAAATCAAAAACTTGAATTTAACTAGTGCCTCTCACCACCACTTTACAATGGTAGAAGTACCTTTGAAGTGGTCATCGTTACAATGTAGGAAGTACTGCCATTTATTTGCATATAACAAGATCTCCCAATTGGCAGCATGATAACAACAGGTAACCTGATTCTTTCTTTTGATGTTGATTCAGGAATTAATATTGACTAGGATATCCTGGCTCATTTTAAGATTAATGCTATAGGATCTTTTCTTCTCAGCTGGGAATTGTTAGCTCAGTTATCTAGAGTGCATTGCAGCATAATGGCAATCTGTGTGCTGGTTGAGATAATTGTTGGGCTCTGCCTCTTTGCAGTGGTATCATGGCACAATCTTCAAATGACATTGTCATATAAAACAACATGACTGAGACTTGGTTTAGTGTCTCATCTATTGGCATCACTTTTGACTGCTAGGGGTGTGTAAGTAGGCTTAGATGGTAATTTTTTATTAAAGATCAATCATGTGCATACTAAAGATTACTGAAGAAGTTAAGAGCTGAAGGAAACTATCTTAGATGTTGCATGATCTATTGATTGTTACCACCTTCAGAATTTGTTGTACTCTCAATGAAACAGCAAACTGGCAACAGGCAATTTTAAAATAGTGAACTTCAATAAATTGCAATTGAAGGCATTAGATGAATTAACAGTTATTTTAAAAGGTTTGGCTAAAACTCCTTAAAGAGCCTTAAAGAAATGCATGATACTGTAATTTTGGAAAAAAATCAACATCTTTTAAATTCTGCAAATTACTTGCATCCAAACAGAGTTACAATGTATTAGTAGACTCATAGAGTCATACAGCATGGAAACAGACCCTTTGATCCAACTAGTGCATGCTAACAAAAACAGAACTGAGTTCTGAAGAAGGGTCACTGGACCTGAAACATTAACTCTGATTTTTTCTTCACAGCTGATGCCAGACCTGCTGAGCTTTTCCAGCAACTTCTGTTTTTGTTCCTAATTTATAGCATCTGCAGTTCTTTCAGTTTTTACTTAGTCCACACTGACCATGTTCGCAAACTAAACTAATCTCACCTGTTTGCTTTTGGCCTAAATCTTTCCTATTCATGTACTTATCCAAATATCTTTTAAACACTGTAATTGTATCTGCATCCACCACTTGCTATGGAAGTTCATTCCACACACTAACCACTCTCTGTGTAAAAAAGTTGCCCCTCATGTCCTTTTTAAATCTTTCTCCTCTCACCTTAAAATTATGTCCCCTAGTTTTGAACTCCCTCACCTTAGGGAAAAGACCTTTTTCTATTTGCTTATCTATGCCCTTCATGATTTAATAAAGTTCTTTAAGGTCACCCCTCAACTTCCTACATCCAGCCTATCTTTATAACTCAAACCGTCTATTCCTGGCAACATCCTGGTAAATCTCTTCTGAACCCTCTCCAGTTTAATAATATCCTTCCTATAACAGGGCGACTGGAACTGCACACAGTACTCCAGAAGAGGCCTCACCAACATCCTGTACAACATGAGAATAACGTCCCAACTCCTATAGTCAAAGGTCTGAGCAATGAAGGCAAGCATGCTAAACGCTTTTTTAACCACCCTGTCTAGCTGTGACTCAAATTTCAAAGAATTATGTACCGGAACCCTTCGGTCTCTCTGTTATGCAACATTATCCAGGACCCGACCATTAAGCCCTGCCCTTGTCTGTTTTACCAAAATGCAAAAGTTGCATTTATCCAAATTAAACTCCATCTGCCACTGATTAGCTCATTGACCCAATTGATCAAGATTTATTTTTAATCTTAGCTAACCTTCTTCACTGTCCACTATACCAACAATTTTGGTGTCATTCACAAATGTACTAACCATGCCTCCTATTTTATCACCCAAATAATTTACATAAATTACAAACAAAAATGGACCCAGTACTGATCCCTATGGAACATCACTGGTCACAGGCCTCCAGGCAGAAAAATAACACTCCACCAACACCCTCCTTCTTCTACCCTAAAGCCAATTTTGTATCAAGTTGTCAAGCTCTCCCTGAGTCCCATGTGATCTAATTTTACTAATTAGTCTGCCATGCGGAACATTATCAAAGGCTTTACTAAAGTCCAAGTAAACAGCATCTACCATTCTACACTCATCAATCCTTTTGGCTACTTCAAAAGCCTCAAATCAGTTTGTAAGAAACAATTTCACTCACACAAAATATGCTGACTATCCCTAATCATTCCTTGCCTCTCCAAATGCATGTAAATCCTATCTTTCAGGATCACCTCAACAATTTACCAACTACCAATGTCAGACTCACTGGTCTATAGCTCTGAAACATTCTTATACCAGGTCAAAAATCACAGACACCAGATTATAGTCTAACAGGTTTATTTGAAGACACAGGCTTTTGTAGTCTTGCTCCTTCTTCAGGTGTCAGTGAGAGAGGTGGCATCAGACCCAGGATTTATAAGCAAAAGATCAAAGGGCCATAGAACTTGATGTGAATGTGTTGAACTAATCTAAGGTGGCTGTTAAATCTTTAATCAGTTAAAAAGGATTCATATGCAAATTCCAGAATTTCTTTCAAGTCACTATCCCGAGATAACTAAAGGTTTTATCAGTTCCTTCAGTATATCAATGATGACATCCCTGATCAGACAATGCATTTTAAATGTGAGGCCTTGTTTAGAATCTGGCTGTGTATCAACTTGGAGTCAGACTGGTATTATTTCCAAAACAGGAATTTATAAAATGCCACATTGACTGTGTACAAATTGTGTGCTTTCTGAACAAAATAGAATGCAACGGCAATTACAAATCTGCAAATGAAATTTCACCCCATAGATTTAGTGTGTGTGTGCATGTGTGCATGTGAGCTGAAGAGAGAGAGAGAGTGCACGCGAGCGTGTGTATTCTATTATACCAGTAACCACAGTAATATTATTGGATACTGGGCAGGCAACTTTAAGCTATAGTTAAATAGATATTGAAAAATTAAATATAATTATTAGTTCTTTCATAAGGAGTGACTGAATTCATGCAGATTTATATTACTTTTATTTTGTAAAGTGTTTTTATGTTGAAGTTTAATGTAAAATAAGTTCAAAATCAAAAGTTCAGCATTTGCAGACACCATGTACTTAAATCAGATTATGATAAAACTTAGGAACTAAAATTTATGCAACATGTAAAAATGTATCCAAAATCAGACTAAGAAAACACATTGAAGAGTTTGTTATCAATCAGTTATCAAGATCAATTACACAAAAGTCAAGACCAATTAAGATATACTAAAGAATATGCCAGCCAAATGTTGACAAGGCTCCATTAACATATGAAGAGTGAGGGTGTCGAACTATCCCAAGGAAATTAAAAATCCCATCTCCAGCCCTGCTGTTAACTAGCTATATCTTGTTTGAAGGATACCTGTTCAAAAGGAAAAAAGGGGATGTGATGTGCTTTTGTAAGTCGATGGAAAGTCATTTTGCCTGTTCGGTAAGTATGCTTATGTCTCATTTTGGATTATCTTCTTAACATAGTCTAATATAGAAAAAAGGCAGTAAATTCTTTTAAATACAAATACATGCTCTGTGTACTAAAATTGAGAAGTTAAATTTTATGAATTTATGATTCTTTTCCATTTGGCACTTAATTAATTCTGCATTATTGTGTCATATTTCTATATTCCAGTTCTGCATTGATTCATACTTCTCTTCATATTTGAATTGCTTGTCTGAATAGTACAGTATTGTCATACCCTATGGTTTACACTCTTGCCCAAACTTGAGAATTAAAAGGAATTACTGATAAATTGGATTGAATCTAATTGGATAGGCATCTAAAAATTCTTAGACATGTCAGCTTGGATTGTTATGCTCAGCTCCTGGAGAGGCAGCAAAGTGCAGTAACTATTTGTAAAAACACTACCAGATTATTGTCTCTATTTTATAGTAACGCCTATGATCACTTTTTTGATTTGGGTACAATATAGTTATTAAAAGTATTAAAATATTATAATATATCTCAATTTATTCATACTCTTATAAGTATAAATAGATTTCAACACATATTAATAGAATATACTTTAAATCCGGAGCTCACTACTCATTATGAATTGACCTGTGCAAATTCAAGCTCAGGATAGATGCTTAAAGATGCATTTTCAAGGTGGCTTGTGCTATGTGAAGAGTTTTGAGGCAGAATGTTGTGCGCTTTTTAAGAGAAAATTGAAAAATACCTGAAGCAGAGATAGGGTTAAAGAAGAAATGACAACAGAGGTAGTGAGGTGTGTACTTTATTTCAATACCAAAGAAATGGTATAGACTGAAAGGCCTCATTCTGCACTGTGAAACATTAAATGATGAGAATATAGATCATAGAATCTCTACAGTGTAGAAACAGGCCCTTCGGCCCAACAAGTCCACACTGACCCTCAGAGCGTCCCACCCAGATCCATCTCCCCTAATCTACACATCCTTGAACACTATGGGCAAATTGGCATGGCCAATCCACTTAGCCTGCACATCTTTGTACCATGGTACCTTGTACTAGTTCAAGGCTGCAGGATATCTTAATTCTTAGACTGCAGGTTGGGAGGTTCTGATCCCATGCATTAACATGTAGAAGAACTAAAAAAAAATGTTTTCATCCCTGGATGTTGGTGGCTTTGTGACTGCAGAATTTTAATGCAGAGATGTGCAACCCTATTTATATTTTCACACTTGGAAAGTGTGTGATCGAATAATTCATAGCAATTAATTTAAATGAATTGTTACAATTCCTAGTTTTAATTCAACTTAATTATATTTTTTCCCAGAAATTATGAGAAGATTCTTTTTGACAGTAGACAGATAGTTGAAAGAAATATTTTGGTTACAGTCTTTAAAAAAATACAAAAAGTGTATTTATCGAAGTGAGAATGGTTATTTGAGCAATGAGACAAGAATACAGATAATGGGAATTACCTGCATAGTA